GCCCTGGATACTGCAATTAAGCCTCTCTAATACGAACAACAGCAACCACAGCAGCAACAAACCAGAAAAGAGCCTAATCAATGGTGCCCTGGAATATCCACTTTGATGGGCATAATGCAGTCCTGCTTTTCTAGCAGCGAGTGGTGTGGAGGTGCCGTGAAAACCAACAGAGCTGTAACTTGCACAGAGCAGAGCTGTGGGTGAATTATGAAAGTAATTCCCTGGCAAGTGTAATTATTTCTCTTCTCATACACTGCACTTTGAATCACAGGGTCTGGGGAAATTTCAGTGGAATGAAACAGATACATTTTTGGCCTCAGCCACCAGAATGGTAGAACACTTCCGCTAAAAACCGGAGATTCTTGTTTACACCCATTAATAACATCTTCTACATTAATGAATTGCATTCATGCTGTCATCCATTAAGAAGGTACTTTGAGGTCTCTCTCTGCACAGAACACTAGCTTCTCCTGATGACTCTATTGTTATATAGCCCATAAATAAAACAAGTATTTTCCCTTCATATTTGAGGTCTGCAATTAAATCTACTAAATGGACTGCAGATGCATGGTTTACAGTAAGTGATTCATCTTGGAAGATCATGGAAATGTCAAAGTCACCACAATGAAGTAGCATAGTTGTCAAATTAGGACAATTTCAAACAGTAATGAACAACAGAAATTTCTTCTGTGTAAGCCAAACTTCTTCCTGACTATGGCTAGTGGTGAAGAAATAAAACCTTGAAGTAAGAAGCCAGGTATCCCACCAAAATTACGATCTTGTGCTAATTTTTCAAGTGAGAAATTGCATTTCCTGAAAAAAATTATATATAGTGAGGTAATATGGTAGTTAAGTGACTCTTGCAACTGAGAGCAGCCTCTGATGAGGCTTCAGAAAGGAAGAGGACACCTAAGGGAAGAAAGAGGTCTGTTGTATTATCGAATAGAGAATCTTGAACAGCAACAGATAAAAACTGCCCAATGGTGATATACCCTTCTCTGAAACAGTCTACGCCCTGAGTTACTGTTCTGATCTCTATTGTATTGATGGCCTGCTTTCTTTACAGAACATCTTATGGTGGTAATACCAGCTGTTTGAAGAAAAAAAAAATCTCAATTTTAGAGATAGCAGGGTTCATGGGACATATTACATAGGGAGAACAGTTTTACGCTCAGTCACCAGAGCAGACCCAGTCTCATGCTCCAGCAGTTACCTACAATTGATGCCCATGGGACTCAGATAAGCACTGCCTGCTGAAGGGTTGCAGAGCCACACCAAAGCACAGGCTGTCCAAAAGCAAACTTGTTGCCCTGTGCTAGGCTGTCCTGAGATTTCTTTACTAGACTGACTTCATTTGGGAAACTGTGCTTATCATATCCTTAGATTATGAATTAGATCCAGATAGCATGTGCCCTAGACACTTTATGCAGCCTTGGAAATCTGGGGCTGAAGCCAAGCAATCAAAGTCAGAGAAAGAGAAAGAGAGGTATTAGTTTCTTTACTGAAGACAGAGAATTCTCAGGTGGCAGAATGAAAATTGTTCCTGAGAGCATAAAATAATTGTTAATTAGTTACATCACTATCATCACTTGTTATGCACTGTATTGATTTTAATTGTCTCCTTCTAAAGCATCAGTCAAATATTACTCACTGACACCAACAAAATGTTGGCTCACAAGCCCAACAAAGCACATCTTGTCTCCTCAAAAGAAAACAACCTAAACTTCCCAGTGGTATATGATGTGCTGAGAGTGCCTTTTGTTTGCAGACAGCCTTTACAGTCTTACTGGAGAATGCAGTTCCCTTTACTGGCCAGGATTGTTCTCCCAATGGAGAGAATATGTATCTATTTACAGGATTCACATAGAGGACCTCTTTGTCAGCATTTCATTTGAAATTTGCATAGAAGAAAGCAGGGTCATGCATTCACTGATAGTGAAATGGTGCTTGGATTTCGGAGGAATTATTTGGCTTTCAAAAGCACAAAGAATTCCTGGTAGTTTCAAACCGTGGTCAGCACAAGAGAGATGCCAGGAAGAGCTCTTGGTCACTTAACTCCTCGATAAAATGTGAAAAATCTTGGAAAAATCTTACCACTTGTTGAATTTTAAGCAATCCAAAAACCCAACAGCTTGGAATGTTATATCCTGTGTTGAGTTTGATAGGATTTTGTGTTGTTTAAAGTCCTACACTCTCAGATTCACTGTGGCAGAGCTCTGTCAGCATTTCAGTTGCAAAATGAGAACAGATTCTCAAGAGAGATGCTTAGGAGACTTCATTAAGATACATAAGGACACCAAGTAATGTCTGCCTAAATGTAGAGTTAGTTTTTCTTCGATAGACCTGAAGTTGTACATATCTGCCCCTACCTTAAAGGGGGGAATGAGAAGGAAGAATCTAACTGATCTGAGTGAGACAAAGAAGGCCATATAAAGGCTCTGTGAACACTGAGTCTCTCCCTGACCTTTCTTTCCTTCTTTCCCACAACCATTATCTATTCCTTCAGACCTATGTGCGAGCTTGGCTGTGCTCTCAAATGCATATTTTAGATGGACCATCATTCACTTGGTGTTTCCATACAAAAGAAAATGGTATGTGAATCATGCCTGTCCCCCTTTTGGTCTGCGCAGCACTTTAGAAATAGTCCTGTTTGTCACTGTCAACTAAGGAGATGGAAGCACAGGTCTGCTGTGTACAGCCCCTGTCCCAGCCCAGGTGAATTGATCTTGGAGAAACAGGGAAAGGGGAACTTAGAGAGATAAACCAAGGAAAGAGGAGACCGTATTCCACACATAAATACCACAAGAAAGATACCACAGTTATTCCCTGCTTGTATATATCAAACTTGCCACCTTACAGAACAACAGCAAAATTCTTCCCTCTTAACACTAAAGTCAAACTTTGACATTACTGAGACGTAGCTGCAGAAGAAAAGAGCAGCTCAATCCACCAGTTCTGTGCAAGCGTAACAACATGCCGACAGGCATATGCATCTCCACAAAGCTCATGGTAGGTGGATACGCAGATATGCAACTCTGTAACTGGTTTTCTTAAAATCACAATACACACCAATATCCCCATTTCCTTGCACATATCCAGAGATTTCTAGTTTCACACAGGAAATGTAAACCAGGCATCTCAGCAAGAAACTGCAGGTGTTGCTGAGAACATTCATCAAGAGAATATACATGCACCTGATAACTGTCCATCTCTAGTCAAATTATAAAAAATCTGTATTTTCATCTGGGACCAGTTTTTCAGGGAGACTGTCCCTTAGTCTGGGCAACTATCTAATGATCATCTCTGCTTGAGAATCAGGAATAGGATTTTTCCTCACCTTAGCCATAAAACTGCTATCATGCAGAAAGAAGCAAATTATTAATTTCTCAATTTAGTGGCAAAGCAGTACAATCTCAAAAAAAATAAAATCTGGAAGTCTTCCAAATAAATAAAACTTAAAAAATACTCATGACAAATTTTTAATTTGTTCATTTTCACTTCATTTCGCTAAGCTTCAAATTATTGGCATTAATTTTCTTAAAGTTTAGCTAAATTAAAACATGAAACATGTGACAACAAAATATTGACACATTTAAATTCAAAAAAGCTTAACTGTAAATTGTAAGGTAAAAAGCATCCCTTACTTCCACCTGATATTATTCATCAAACACAGTCCTACTTCCACACCTTTCAAGCTTCCCAGGACTATATTTTTAGTGACTAACTTGTTCGCCCCCAGAATTCCATCTGTATCTATTCCCGAGATGCTGTTCCTGTCCAGTGGGAGAAACTGAAAGTCTCTGCCACAGGAGCTCAGTCACAGGGCAGAGATCAAGAGGTTTTGTGCAGTCCAACAGCCCCTGCAGGCTTACAGGGTTTAGGTGGACAGTCATCCTTTAAGCTCTAGGTCTCAGGTCCTTTCTTGGTTCAATATCACAGGTCCTACACCTACCTAACTTGCACTTGCTTTATGCTGTGTCTTCCACTTTTTTGGAAAGACGTGAAGAAAGGGAAAACGGGGACCAGGATACTGGACTTAATGCAAAACTCAGCAGTTCCAAGCATTTGCTTCAGAAATATTCCTTGACTTTACTGATTTAATTGAAAATACTCACAAGGAGCATGTGGTATGCCAGGGAACATAGAGAGAGATTTTAGAAGACTTTAATTTTCAGAGCGGGAGGTCCTAAATGAGGAAATTTTCCTCACAAAATATTGCACTGCACTGGGGCATAGAGCAAAGATATGTGCCACTTTGTGCTTGGCAGAGCTATGAGACCTTACATCCTATAAATCTATAAATTGAATTCATCCTGCCTACACCCTTAGTCTAAGAAATTGTTAGACTAGGAACAGCTAATGGATCAGCTGGTAATTTATTTTTAAAAGATGCATACTGCTGCTTTTTGGCAACCTGAAAGGATATGGACACTGGATGCGAGTTTCCTGATGCCTGGGTCCAAGGTAATGTGGAATTGCTTTGTATGCTCCCCTGTCCCCTCACACATTCTGTGTTTGAGATTTCAGAGGGGACCGACTGGTCAAGAAGAGAAAGGTCTAGCGTTGTGCAGAACCATACTGCAAAGGAAACTGCATGCGAAGAGCGGATGAGGCATCAGTAACGGTGCCAGGTAATATATAATGCAAAAGGATGTGTATAACTAATTTATTAGAATAAATTTGACTCTTAAAAAAAGCATATGCAAAGAAAACTCTAAAGGACAAAACCCCACCTGCCTTGCAAATTGAGACAAAACCTGACCTCACTAAAGGTAACTGACTAAAATGACAGAACTTCACCACAAACCACACTACTATCTACCAGAGGAGACTCGCTCCTGTACCTGCAGCATCAGTCAGTGCAATTACTGCACATCACAACAGAAAGAAGGATCCAACATTTCCCAAAGGCTTCTCCGCTGGCTTAAGCGAGAGAATACCACTCAGCATGAACAAGCTGCTCTTTGAGCTTATGTCTGAAGTTAAACAAAGTGACTTACCTTTTAGAGAGGCGACGTGGGATAAAGCTTGTGCGTAGGTGGCCGTGTTGAGAAGAGTCCCTGGCAGGCAGGAGGGGAAGAAAGGTCCTGTGGGACCGACTGCTCGACTCAGGCTGATGGGGAAGAGAAAACAACTTTCAAAACCAGAACTAGCTGACCCCAAAGGCAGCGCATGTGCATATACACAAACATGCTCAGGGCTGTGCCTGAAAATGATACCGTTTAGGTCAAGGCTTAGCATCAGTCAAGTCTGTATATATGTACATACATACGATGCATGCTTGCCCCAAAGAGTTGATGACATGCGTTACTCTTACCTCTGCTGGATCTCCAGACTCTCTTTTTTATTCCTGGTTTGATCTGCTGGAGAAGGGGAATTTAAATTCCTGACAGGAGGTGCCACCTCAGCCATTGATTCCTTAGAGCCCTCTTGGTCGGAAGCCCCCCTCTCTGTTTTCCTCCATTTAGCTCTTCGATTTTGGAACCACACCTGGAGCAGGAGAGCAATCCAGGCTGAATACCACATTTAGCCATATGCAAAACAAGTCAACTGCAGCTGAACTGTTACTCTAGTGAGATCAGTCATTTTGAAGTTTGGCTAGAATTTCCTTTGATTTTGTATCTGAGCCTTGATATTACATTTCTATCCAGAATATTTCTGTGTCTGGAAAACAAGGCAGGAGTGTCTAAAAACAGTCAAAAGGCATATTTGAAAACAAAAGCAAAACAAACAAACAAAAAAAAACACTGATGTTACCGTGTCAGTTAGCAAAATATTTAAACGTGTGCTTGCCTTTACACACATTTCGTTCTCACTGAATTCTATGTTTTAACGTGTAAAATCCTTCTGTCTAGGGAAGGACTTAAATATCTACCTAAGCACCCTGGCAAAACTGTATGGAAGTCTTTAGGTGAGCTCTTGCTAGAATCAGGGAGGTCAGAAATTAGAAGTACATACTAGGGCATCTCAGCCATCCCATTCCATGGAGAGGCTTGATACTTGCTGTTATTCCTCTGATGTATTTGTCCACTCTGCATTTAGGTGACTCAAAAAGAGGTAGATACTCTTTTAGGAAGATCATCCTGCAGTTTAATACACACCACTTTCCAAACCTTATTTTTCCCTGTTATGCAACAGAAATATTCATGCTCTTGATTTTGTTGCCTGACTTTTAGCCAAAACACTTTTTTCATTTACCTTGGGGCTGATGCTCTGAAAGCACCTTATTTGAGGTGAAAAAAGCCAAGCCTCCCTTGAGGTCAAGAAATCCACATTTTAATACATGACTTCAAGTATAGGCAAGATTGTTATTATTATTATTCTCCTCCTACAACTCCATTTTAGTTAGCTGCCTTTTAATTGCATGTATCAGCAAACGTTGAATAATGATTTTATCTATATTCTAAATTTAGAGCAGTTAAATGCAAAGCAAAATGCAGACACTTCCTTGCGTCTTAATTGAATGAAGGTCACAGCTATAACAACATTTAATTGAGCTATTTTTCATTATCATATTTTAATGACTTTGCACTGACAGTTCGCCTGCTTCTGAGGAAAGAGCATGATGAAGTCGTTTATTTCCCTATTTAGTTATTGTTTGACAACATCATCTTCGATTAAGACTCTGCTTTATAGCACATTAATCATATTTGAATGAGCAAGGGGTATAAATGTAAACATATCTCCCATCCTCTGTGTTTCCCCATGTCCCTGCATGAAAGCAGGCTAAACAAATGCTTGCATCTATTGTCTGTTTGCATAATAGCCAACAACAAGGCTAAACACCAGTCCTCAGCAATCTAATTGTCACCACCCCTATCTCACCCTTGCACCTTTCAGGAAGAAGTTATGATCTTCCACTTCTGAATGCTCAATAATTGTCCCATTTATCTCAATTTGCAGTTCAGTCTTTAGGCACCAATAGCCAAAATGGCATTTTTTATTATTTTTTTTAAGCCAGTACCTACAATGCACTGGCAAAAGGAGATTTTCATTTCCAAATAATAATCAGTTTAATTTGCCCGCATATGACCAATGATTCATGTTCAGATTTAATAATCAGGATCGCATAATCTGATTATAGGAGAAATAATTTGTTTACAATCCCCAATTTACTGCGGTGAATTCCATTATCTCTCTTCAGCCATTGGGTTTTAAGAGATACTAACATGACCCTAGGGAACAAAAGGCAAGCTATTATATTTCCTACAATTAGATCTTTGCATAGTCTTAACCCCGAGCACCTAAATAAAAAAAAAAAATACAGAAACAGCATGCAGAAAAGCCCCATAAATAAAATGAATACATAATTGTGTTCAAAAAATGGCTTGCAAATCAGCGGTGGATGCCTGCAGAGTTATATGAATCCATCTCTTACAACTGCAGGACTGCTGTTCTGAGCAGAGCTTGTAAGCACTTACACAAAGTTAACCTCTGAGTATGGAAAACAAACACACACCTGGGTCAAAAAAAGGGAGAAAAAAGGAGGAAGGGAAGGAA